CCACCCAGGAAGATCTCACCGTCCCCCACCATGAGAGATGTCCCCGCCCCCTGTATTCCCGGGATCCCACCCAGGAAGATCTCACCATCCACCACCATGAGAGATGTCCCCGCCCTCTGTATTCCCGGGACTCCACCCAGGAAGATCTCACCATCCCCCACCATGAGAGATGTCCCCGTCCTCTTTATGCCCGGGATCCCACCCAGGAAGATCTCACCGTCCCCCACCATGAGAGATGTCCCCGTCCTCTGTATGCCCGGGATCCCACCCAGGAACATCTCACCCTCCCCCACCATGATCAGGTAGATGATGAACAATTATTGGCCATTATAATGTATTATACAAGTTTATTTGTTCCAATAAATGTTTTATATACTCAGATTGGAAACCTCGGGGATGATAATATTGTTGTTAAAGAAGAACATAAAGAGGAGGACGAGGAGTACGGAGTGATGGAGGAGCTTTCTGAAGGTCACAAGGACATTATGATGAAGCCACCTAGTAAGAGGAACCCACCAGAGAGATGTCCCCGTCCTCTATATTCCCGGGACTCCACCCAGGAACATCTCACCATCCCCCGCCATGATCAGGTGGGTGGAGTTGAGGGGCGGGAACATAAAGTGATGGAACGCTCTGACATGTGGAGATGACGTGTGGACTCTACAAGATGAGATCTTCTATGTGATGTCACATCATAAATACTTCTATGTCACAGATGAGACTTTCTGCCGTTCTGTTGGTTTAGGGTGAAGATCTGATGAAGATGAAAGTTGAGGGTGAAGTAGAAGAGACGTATGTGAGGGATGATCAGCGATATACGGAGGAGGCCGGGATGATGAGGACGTCTATAGAGGAGGACACGCCTACAGAGACCAGCACAGGTGACCCATATTGTATTCATCTTTTACTGCACACTGATTGGTCCAGAGTAGGGCGGAGCTGAGTGATATCAGCCAATAATAGGTAAACTCCTTGTACTAATACCCTTCCTGGGGTTCAGTTGGCAGTATTATGTCGGTTGGTGCCTCTTCTAAGCCAATTGACTGCAAGCTCCCTCCAGTGTTGATTATCACCAGGAGCCTAGGTTTATGGTCACTTGTGTTGTGGTGAATGGTCTTTGAAGCTTGACGGGGAAGTTTGAACTTTGAAGCTCTTATTTCCCTGAGGTCACATGACCCAGTGCCTAGGCTTGTGGTTGGGTGAAGAGCATGCTCCTTCCAGTCCCCATTATCTCCTCCTCTTCTGACAAGGCTGTGTCAATGTAGTAGTGATCTGGGAGGAGGAGCAAAGGCCCTTTGACTGAAGAGGGGAGGAGTCCCGGCTGGTTGGGACCTCCTCATAGAACATCTGCTCACTCAGACCTCCTGATCCAGATGGAATGTTGAGTGAAGTCATCTAACCCTCTCATATCTCTCCGTCATGTGTTTCTATGTTTCCAGGACACGCCATGGAGGAACCCTCAAAGGATCGTCTGACTTTATCTCCAGGTTGTAAGATGGAAGATGAGGACATCACAGCAGATTGTGCGGGAGAAGAGACAATGAGCTCAGCTATGGATGGTGGACGTCACAGTGTGGATAGACCATGGAATCCATCTGACTCTGAGCGGCCTCGTCCTGTGGGGGATTGTGACGGAATTCAGGGGGAGAAGACATTTTCCTGGCCTGAGTGTCGGGAAAGTTTTGGCTCCGAATTAAGTCTTTCTGTACATCAGAGAACTCACACAGGTGAGGAGCTTCATTCTTGTTCAGAGTGTGGGAAAAGTTTTCTTCGTAAATCAGCACTGGTTAGACATCAGAGATCTCACACGGGGGAGAAGCCGTATTCCTGTTCTGAGTGTGAGAAATGTTTCTCACATAAGCATCATCTTTCCAGACATCAAAGGTCTCACACGGGTGAGAAGCCATACTCTTGTCCTGAGTGTGGGAAAAGCTTTCTTCGTAAATGTACACTGGACATTCATTACAGATCTCACACAGGGGAGAAGCCGTATTCATGCCCTGAGTGCGAGAAAAGTTTTTCAGACAAGACCAAGCTTTCCAGACATCAGAGTTTCCACTCTAGCGAGAAGCCTTTTTCCTGCTTGAATTGCGGGAAATGTTATACACACAAATCAGGACTTGTTAAACATGAAAGACTCCATACAGGGGAGAAGCCATATTCCTGCCCTGAGTGTGGGCGATGTTTTTCACAGAAGTCCCTTCTTTCCAGACATCAGAGGTCTCACACGGGGGAGAAGCCCTATTCCTGCGTTGAGTGTGGACGAGGTTTTTCAGAGAGGTCCCAGCTTTCCAGACATCAGAGATCTCACATAGGGCAGAAGCCACATTCCTGTCATGAGTGCGTAAAAAGTTTTGCACAGAAAACAGACCTTGTTATTCATCAGAGATCTCACACAGAGGACAAGCCGTACTCCTGTTCTAAATGCTTTCAATGTTTTTCAGATGAGGCCAGCCTTTCAAGACATCAGAGGTTGCATACGGGCGATATGCCATACGTCTGCCCAGTGTGTGGGAAATGTCATGCACAGAAATCAGAACTAGTTAGACATCAAAGATCTCACATAGAAGAAGCCATATTCCTGCCTGGAGTGCTTATGATTTAAGGACATTGTTAGGTGCTTATATGCTAATGTTTGGTTCTTTATACACTTCCTGTCCAAAAAAAAGCTCAGCCAATAGGTGCGAGTCTTCCATTGGAGAATTCCTGCCGTAATCAATATGTTTCAGCCGGCAACAAGTTATTAAACCCTAAAGGATGCAGTGAGGAGCTTCTCATGTCTTCAACAACCGTGTCAGGAGACATAACCTCGGGTCATGGACAAGATGGAACTCTGTTTCAGAAAGGCGAAATTATTGGCCGGCATCAAGGAAAGAAAACGACTAAAATTGGGTTGAAAACTGTCCAATATATTATCAAAACCTGGAAGGATAGAGGTCAACCATCATGTTTGAGGAAGGATAGAGGTCAACCATCATGTTTGAGGAAGGATAGTGGTCAACCATCATGTTTGAGGAAGGATAGTGGTCAACCATCATGTTTGAGGAAGGATAGTGGTCAACCATCATGTTTGAGGAAGGATAGTGGTCAATCATCATGTTTGAGGAAGGATAGTGGTCAACCATCATGTTTGAGGAAGGATAGTGGTCAACCATCATGTTTGAGGAAGGATAGTGGTCAACCATCATGTTTGAGGAAGGATAGAGGTCAACCATCATGTTTGAGGAAGGATAGAGGTCAACCATCATGTTTGAGGAAGGATAGGTTGGACTTGTCTTTATTCAACCTCAAATACTATGTAACTATAGTGGTCAACCATCATTTTTGAGGAAAGATAGAGGTCACCCATCATGTTTAAGGCAGGATAGTGGTCAACCATCATGCTTGAGGAAAGATAGAGGCCAACCATCATTTTTGAGGAAGGATAGAGGTCACCCATCATGTTTAAGGCAGGATAGTGGTCAACCATCATATTTGAGGAAGGATAGTGGTCAACCATCATGCTTGAGGAAGGATCGTGGTCAACCATCATGTTTGAGGAAGGATAGTGGTCAACCATCATGTTTGAGGAAGGATAGCGGTCAACCATCATATTTGAGGTAGGATAGTGGTCAACCATCATCTTTGAGGAAGGATAACGGTCAACCATCATGTTTAAGGCAGGATAGTGGTCAACCATCATGTTTGAGAAAGGATAGTGGTCAACCATCATGTTTTGAGGAAGGATAGTGGTCAACCATCATCTTTGAGGAAGGATAGCGGTCAACCATCATGTTTAAGGCAGGATAGTGGTCAATCATCATGTTTGAGGAAGGATAGCGGTCAACCATCATCTTTGAGGAAGGATAGTGGTCAACCATCATGTTTGAGGAAGGATAGCGGTCAACCATCATCTTTCAGGAAGGATAGCGGTCAACCATCATCTTTGAGGAAGGATAGCCTTCAACCATCAAGTTTGAGGAAGGATAGAGATCAACCTTCATCTTCTAGGAAGGAATGTGGTTGGTAATAAATCATGGCTATGATTAAGACTAAACCGCTGTGTAGCCTTCAGAAAACCTCATCGGGGAGCCAATCGGAAAACAAATGCTTCAGTTTGCTGGGGAGCATAAAGATTGGACTCCGGAGCAATGGAAAAAGGTCATGTGGTCTGATGAGTCCAGACTTACCCTGTTCCAGAGTGATGGGCACATCATGGTAAGAAAGGAGGTGGAAGAAGTGATGCTCCCATCATGACTAGGGCCTACCGTCCAATCCTGTGGGGGGCAGTGTTATGATATGGAGTTTGGTTGGTTGGTCAGGTCTGGGTGCCCAACAATTGAGGTCAGCGGCCTCTCTGAATATACTGAATGGCCAGGATTTTCCATCAATGGATGTTTTCTTCCCTGATGGCGCATTGGGCAAATTCCAAGATGACAATGCCGGGACTCATCGGGTTCAAGGAACATGAGACATCATTGTCACACATGGATTGGCCACCACAGACTCCAGCCCTTAACCCCAATGTCCATCTTTCGGATGTTCTGGAGAAAACTTTACACACAGTGCTCCGACTCTCCCATCATCACTGCAAAATCTTGGTGAAAAATGTAATGCAAATAAAAGTTGTGACATTACATACGCTTGGGGTCCTCTTTTTTTCTTTCTTGCAGTCAGGGGGCTTAGGCGTAGGGCTTCAATCACACCCCCGATATTTCCCACACAGACCATTTCCTGTACTCGATACAGAACACTTCCTGTACTCAATACAGACCACTTCCTGTACCCAATAAAGACCACTTCCTGTACTCAATACAGACCACTTCATGTACCCAATACAGACCACTTCCTGTATCCAACACAGACCACTTCCTGTACTCAATACAGACCACTTCCTGTACCCAATACAGACCACTTCCTGTACTCAATATTGAGCCCTTCCTGTACCCAACACAGACCACTTCCTGTACTCAATACTGAGCCCTTCCTGTTCCCAATACAGACCACTTCCTGTACCCAATACAGACCACTTCCTGTGCTCAATACAGACCACTTCCTGTACCCAACACAGACCACTTCCTGTACCCAACACAGACCACTTCCTGTACTCAACACAGACCACTTCCTGTACCCAACACAGACCACTTCCTGTACTCAATACTGAGCCCTTCCTGTACCCAATACAGACCACTTCCTGTACCCAATACAGACCACTTCCTGTACCCAATACAGACCACTTCCTGTACCCTACACAGACCACTTCCTGTACCCAACACAGACCACTTCCTGTACCCAACACAGACCACTTCCTGTACTCAACACAGACCACTTCCTGTAC